ACTACGTGCTGACGCAGGCTGAAAGTATCTCGATATATCAATATCAAGCGTGCCAAAAACTTTGAATACACCGCCCACCTTGACGACGTGCTACGTACGGAAGTTTTCTTCACTTTTAGAGCGGTATCCGCAGGAAGGTATTCTCGCTAAACTTCTTCCTCGAATGAGATAAAGCGATAGCAAAGTCGATAAGCTGATTTGATCGCAACAATAGAACTCTGGCTTACAACGTACATATTGTGTGATAACCAGGAGTTTCTACACAGTTCCGGCATATCGATTCAGGAGAAACGCTGCAAGATGAAATGTACGCTTGGGACTAGGATGACTACGTTTGTATAAATATGCAAACACATGCGGTCAATAAAGTAGCTGAGAAATCTTTTTTGATGCAAGAAATCTGGTTCGAAGGATATCTCAACCTTTTTTATGAATAAGTACGTGAAAATCAGAAATTATATTTTTTAATTGTTTTACTTATCTGTAATGTAAATTGATAAAAACAACGTATAATTATTCAAATTATATTTATTATAGAAATCTGTAAAATAATTATGGATTATAACGTTAGAAGTATTTGAAGTATTATAAATCTTAAACTACTTTAAAAATAGAAATACTTATTTTGCAAAAAGACTATTTCCTTTTCAAATACATTACAATAATACAATATTAATGCAATATTAATATAACATTATAACAAAATTTTTGTTTAACAAAGTATAAATTGTTAACTTATAATTTAATATATATTAATATATGCATATATGAATATATTAATACATTTTTAAATTATCAAAATTTTATTAATTTATTATTACATTGCACAAAATTAAATAAAAAAATGTTGAAATCCGTTAAAATAACATAATACATATAAATATATCAAAAAAGAGCAGTATGATAAATATAAATGTTAAATAAAAAGGCCAATTTTATCAATATTCCGACTTTCGTTCAAATATGCTGAATTATAGTGGTCGATTTTTCTTAGCGCTTTTATCTCGTCAATATCCGTCATTACCGACATAGTCTGCGTTATTAACATCGTAAATGCAGTGTTGCGTGTTATGGTTGGTTGGCAGAAGCCTTGCAATCTGCGTAAAGTTTGCGCAGCGAGAGGGATGTAGGCTCGTGGAGGGGGGGGAAATCAGGGTGGAGTACTTTTTTGATCGTCTTGCTCGCCTGGCGCGAAACCGCTGGATCGTGAATGTACCGACGATGTCGCTGGTTTAACGGCACCGTATCCAGCGACGGCTGCGTAATTTAATGAGCATAAAAGCCAGAGGCACGATTAATATGCGCGCCGAAACGAGGACGACGTTGTCGACAAGACACGGCTATACGTGCAGCCCCGATTTGAGAGATATGTAATACCGACGAAGGAGATTACAGAAAATTGTGACTTTGAGCAAAACTCGCTATATTCTTTAATTTATCTTTTGAAACACCAGTACATATTTTTTTAATATCAATGAGAGAAAAACCACATTAAAAAATAATTATTTTATCTATGTTATTTCAAATAAAACAGCGCAATTGAAGATTATATAATTTTCCTTTTACGAAATGAAGAAAAAAAATAATAAGAAAACATAATACTTCTCAAAAGAATACTCTACTCCATTTCTAATTCATATAAAAAAAACTTTTTAATCTTTTCAAAAGAGCTGATCAGATATATTGTTATACTACAGTCAGTTAAAAAAAAAACCAAAAGTACGGTTATAGTATAGTATAATTGCTTATTGTAGCTTATAATATTATTATGTTTTATACTAAAAGAAGAGACAATGAGATATATATATTTCGTAGTAAATTAGTAAAAGCTCGAACATATCGTACATTATCGCTCGATGGGAATCGAAAAAAAAACCGAGCAATACATCTTTTAGCATCACAAGTGCATGGTTCTTGTAGGTTGCGAGTGAAATGATGTCGCCCTGACTTGCAAGTTTTGGGCGACTGGCCAGTAGGGTGGAAAAGTTTTTAACTTTAAAATTTACGGACTGACGCGAAGAAAAAAGTTCCTGCACACATCTGGATGCGGCCGACCGATAATCAATATGTGCAACCATTCTTGTCGTGTGTTGCCTACACATCACTTTAAAATCAAGATTTTTTTCAGCTAATTTGGCCTCTTTCCGACTCATTTGAGAACGTTACGAAACTAGAAAAGTTGTTGCGCACGAAGAGGATATTCATTTGCTTATATGAACTTTGTTGTATATTTTATATATTTATAATAGAGACAAACATCATTAAGTCTTTTACTATCAGACGTTTTCATTGTTCCCTATGACCAACAAAAGTAATATATAGCAATCCCTATTCTCCTTTTTGTCTTTTTTGTGGAAGTTTTTGATAAATTAAATCTATATTATTAAATTTGTAAATTAAATTAAATGAAAAATCTATAAATCAAATAAAACAAAATCTTTTTTAACTGTTTTAATAAACAAATAAATAACTTTTAATTAAACTCTTATATATAAATATATTTAGGCACAAAAGTGACAAAATAAGAGAGACCAAGACTTGTTGGCATAATTTTCATTCTTCCGATATTAACTTTTTATAATATTCGATATGAAATGAAAATAAGACAAGTCAAGTTTTGCTAACTTTTGTTATCAAAATGAAAATTAATTCTTTTTGTTTGGGTACATATAAGAAAATTGCACAATATGCAAAATGTATCAATAAAAATTGACTGATTAAGTAAAACCATTGATTAAAGATTTTTTTTTAAATTTAAAAAAGTTTCTTATTATTATAATCAAAAAAATTAACAAACGAATGCATGTCTCTTAACTGTACACTTTCATATTAACATTTGTCCTACTAATAACAATTCGTTGAGCCCTCAAGGGGATGCCAGTCTCTTCTATTCTATTCCTCGTATGTTCTCTTACTCGTCGAGTGTTCTTCCAGACATTTTCGTTCGAGCGTGAAACACGCCGCATCTGTAATTTCCGTGCAGGAACTCCGCAATTCTACCAGGCCGTATCTTTCGCCAATCCATGTGTTTTTCTCTTTGTCCTCCATGCCGTTGTTTTTTTCTGTTTCGTTGCTCTTCTCTCTTCTTAACTTCGCATCGTTCTGGCCGTTCATACGTTCGGAAAACTCGCCTGAGAGTATATGCTCTCTTATTCCACTTATCGCAAAAACGGATTGTTCACGGAAAAAGAAAATAATGGACAACAGCGACGGACCAGTCAGGATCGTGTACATGAAATACGCAGGTACGTCACGCACGTACCGTCGTCTGTAAATCAGTCGCGAGTGCTTGGGTTCTCGCGAAATATTTAACGACGACTCCTATCCTCGTTTCGCAGTTACGCCAACCCTTCAGCCTCCCTGCTGAATTTATTGCTTAATTTCAAAACGGTTTGGCGTTTTCGTGCCGACCTGTGACTCGTCGCGGATTGCGCGGCTTCCACAAACGCAAACAATAAATTAAAAGTTGCGGCATAATGTTCTCAAACTACCGCTTATTCGATCTATAATCCTGAATGAAGGGTTATTATGACATAATAACAGATGCTAGTGTGGTGCACGAGTCTTTTTACTCTGTAATAGGAACGAGTTGGAAAATACATGAAGAGGAAGAGGCATCCAATTATCATAATAATCAAATCACATTCGCATAATTGTTGCAGTGAATTTAAACGGTAATTATATTATTATGCAACATAATCGGCAAAAAATAATTTAATAGTAATAAAATCATCAATATATCAACAAATTAATTTACGACAAAATATTAATTTTTTATTTTTTGTTGAATTTTAAAAACGTTAAGTATAAAAATATGTACTGTCTAAATCTAAATCAGTGGATAGTCACTAATTACCCAGTGGCATACTTGGTACTGATAATCAGTGAAGTTCAACTAAAAAGGAAGAATATTTGAGCATTAATAACTAAAATACTGATATTTACACATTAATTTCAATATTTCAATACCATATTCATTGAATTTAAACACTAAAACAAGTTTAGTTAGATCACATAATTAGCTAGGTTAGGGATCTCACATTTAATTCACTGATGTCAGTGCCTAAGTACTAGTAGGCACTGATGTCAGTGATTATGCCACTAACTCAGAAAATAATAATTTATATATAAATATTATTTTATTTAATACACAATTTATACATACAATTTTTAATTGTGTTTCCATACTAAAGTAAGTTAATTATCTTATCGAGATAAAATAAGAGAAATGAATAGATAAATTCTATTTGTTCTAATTATATTCGTTACTTAATGAAGTTATACTTAATGAAGGAAAAACTACTGATTATAGAAACGCTTAGAATTGAAAATTTTTATTTTGACATATTATAAAAACATCTAATCTTAAGCTGGATTCCCCACCATCGAAAATCAAGTTCGCAATAGATAAAAAATTTAGTGCTGTTTAGATACTAATTTAGTATTTTATTCCGAATTTTAGCTCAAACCGTTTAGCAGTAATAAAAAAAAATGGGAGAATCTAGCTTAATGGCAAGCAATCAGTAAAAATTTTGTACTGTTTATTACTAAAAAATATTAGAAATCCGAAATATTTATTTTTCGTATTAAAAAAAAACTTTTCGAAACCCCTGCATTTTTGCCGTATATCTCATACGGGTGAGATATATGGCTACTCATAGGGGGAGGAGGGAATGTACGATTCATAAAAAATTTACAAATGCTTATAAATAAGACATAAAATGATACAATAACTCATAAAATGTTTTCAAAGTTTTATTAAGGAATAAAAATGATAAATATAAAAGCGCATAATATAATCGCTTTTTTAGCATTTTACAAGTTGCTGTGCTACTTGAGTTAATAATTTTATCGAGCTATATTTCAAGCGATAATAATTTTATCGAGCTATATCACAAGCAATAATATATATATGAAGTAATACATAATAACAATTTTCCTACATATATAATATTACAAGTGTTATTACATGAGATACATATTTCATGTAATGTGTTTATTGCATTTAGTGCACTAAATCTAATTTGAATACTTTAAGCAAATCCTGCCTGTTAAAAATGCTATATATGATTTTTAATATTGTCTTATTACAATAAATAAAATTATATGACCTTAGATGTACGATTGATTGGAACAAATCGTGTACGGATCGGCTGTGTAACACGGCTTGTTAAATCCGTCTTGAATTGAAGATCCTTTAAATAATCGATGGGTTCCAGATAAAAGTTATATATCAATGTCGCTATTATAGCTTTTAGTTCCATCATAGCAAATCGTTGTCCTATTATTCGTAAATATATTAGAAATTGTTAGGAATTGTTTATATGAATAAATTAATATCTTATATAATATACATTTAACATTACCTATACAATTTCGCGGTCCTGCGCTAAATGGTAAGTAGGAATAAGGATGACGTTTTTGAATTTTCTCTAACAAAAATCTATCTGGATCGAATACATCTGGATTTGGCCAGAAATTTGGATCTCTATGAATATCGTAAATATTTAAATGCACAATTGTTCCAGAAGGCACCAAATATGTTTCTGAAAACATCATATAGCATACGTAAATAAAATTTTTTTAAACAATAATAATAGAAACCTACAAATATAACTCAAATACTCATTTATATATAAATTATTTTATTAAAATGTACTTTTTTTACCATATAAGTTATTGATTTTGGAAAAATCTATTACACGTTAAATTTACTATAAAAATGTTTAAAATTGACAAATTCTATTTTGACAACATTATGTATATAAAATTAAAAATGAAAATATAATGAAAAATTGAAAATATTGTCTTATAAAAAAACAAAAAAAAAGGAAAAGAAAGAGAATTTATAAATAATTATTTTAAAAATTTGTGTATTAATTGATATATTAAAATATTAGACAATTAAGGAGACAGTTATTTTTGCATTAATACTTATCTGATGATTTTATGTCTAAATGTAGAGGAAAGGTTCCTATTATAGGATACCGAGTTCATTTTAGATACCAGAAGTTTATGAACAGAACTTACAAAAATAATAGGTCATTTTGAAGGGAATTTAATAGCTTTAAGATAATATTATATAAAATTTAATTTAAATTTCATTTTTTTTTTAATTAAAGAAATGTAAAAAATGAGCAAAATCGCAAAGTCAAAAAATTGTGCTCCTAATATGAGATACTTTCCGAGAAATCGATAGTAAAACGTAAGTGTATCAGTATTGTAACTAAAAAATTTTATTTAATGTTTCTTAAATACAAACAAACACAGTCAGGCTGTGCGAAAAATGAATATGTGATACATTATATCCAGAACTCGTCTTCAAGTAGTTGAAATCAAGCATCGCAAAAATAGGCACTCGATGTTCATTCCGGTTGTTCTTTTTATTATTGTACAATAACATTTATACTTTAGCAACGATTTTCACTATGACATGGGAATATGGATTATTTCATATTAAAAATACCCTATCTCATATTACGATTTCCAATTACGCCTTACAATTTTACGATTATCAAATCTAACTTCTGTAATTAAGCAATTCAACATATTCCGTATTTTTCTATTAGCACGACCTTACTATATGAAGAATTTATTGCCAAATATTTATTCATTAAATAATAAACAATGTTTAAAGGCTCATCTCAATGAAACTTGAAGACGTCCAAATTCTAAAATCTTTTTTTACAATGACTACAAGCATGATCTAATAATGAATTTTCTATTAAATAGTTTTCTATCCAAGAGCAATAAATTTATGATAGAACCAATAGATAATCTATTAGCAGAAACGCCGCTATCTCATATTAGGCGCCTATCCCATAATAGGGGGCTTTCCTCTCTCTCTCTCTCTCTCTCTCTCTCTATGTATATATATATATATATATATATATATATACCTATATATAAAACATATAATTTATTACTCACGTGTTTGTAAATCTTTTGATAGAACTCGTGAAATGAAAGGAACGCTAGGATATAATCTCAACGATTCTTTCAAACATCTTTCTAAGTATGGCATATTATTTAACGCTGACATGGTAAGCTTTCCTCCATTTGCTTCCATGATTGCACTAATTTCATTTCTGGCACGTTTCTATTAGAAAATAAAGTTCTCTATGTTTGATGAAATTATTTGATTATTAATTAAAAATTCAGTATTTATGTTTCCATAAACATGTGGTGACCTTTTCGAATTAAACACATAAAGCAAAAATGTATTTCTATGTCTATTTTTAAATTAATGTTTCTAATGTTTTAATAATTACTTGCTATAAATGGAAGATTGGTAGAATTAATCAATTGTGTTAAATATTGGGTTGAATAAATTAATTATAAATTATTGTTGAAAATATATACCTGGACATCTTCGTGTTCAGCTAGTAATAATATTGCATAAGTTAATCCCACTGCTACGGTATCATGTCCCTATAATAAGAAAATTCTGTATTACATACAAGTTATGTATAATTTATTAATAAGAAAATAATTAAAAAATATTTTTTTTATTTTTAATTAGTTTTTGCCTGCTATTTTTGCCTACAAAAATCGAATATTAATTGAAGTAATTAATAACTATTAATTCCAATTAATAAAATATTTTTATAAGAGAACTGAAATTATTAATTTATAAAGTAATAATCGAAATAAAATGTTATAAGAATTGTAAGAGGAAATTGAAATAGAAAGAATAAGAAAGTTATAGACATAAAAAATATATGACAGAAGAAAGATAGAAATGAATCAAAAAGAAAGGATAATAAAATGTACCTCGAAGGAGAGGTCGTTATACTATATCGCAGAATAGGACAAAAACTAAATTTTAAAGACTAATTCCTATTTATGTTATAATGACTATAATGTGAATAATATGAATCTATACAAGGTAAATATCCTTTATTTAGGGGAGCCCCTTCCAATAATCTCGATCTTGTTGACATATGTTGTTAAGATCATGACCCTAAATGGCCTTCAATAAATTTTAGCCGTCGCTCGTTATTCGCTAAAAAGTTATTAATAAAAAAAGTTTGAAAAATAACGTCTTATTCTCTCACACATACCAATATTAAAAATAATATACCAATATTAAAAATTATCCTATACCTTCCCTTGTTTATGTAATCTCTGTCCACGCAAACACAAATTCATTGCTTTAATAGAAAATTTGTTTTTAATGCGAAAAATTTGCGTGTTTAAAGCAGTAAATTTATGTTTTTAAAGCAATGAATCACTACTTTACAAACAAATTCACTGTTTTAGCAGAGTTTGTATCCTTAACGCACTGAATTTATGTTTTTAAAGCAGTGATTGCTTTAACTTTAAAATATAAATTTACTGCTTTAAACACACAAATTCTTTGCATTAAAAATATGCAGGCAAGGGGGAGGGAGGAAATCGCTTCGCGTGGAAAGTCGTGCGCCCCTCAGCGGGCAGAAGGTAAGGTGACTCGCTTCGCATGGACAGTCGTAAAATATGTTTTAAAGCAGGAAATTCTTGTTTTATATTGTATAAAAAAGACATTATTTTTCAAACTTTCCTTAATAATTTAAAAAAAAAATAACGAGCGACGATTAAAACTTGTTGCAGGTTATTCAGGGTCATAATCTTAACAACATACGTCATGGAAGGGGCTCTTCTAAACAGAATATTTATCTTACATAATGTACGAGGGTGGATCAACTATAAACAAGAATTTTTTTTATTATTTATTGGACGAGAATAAAAATATATAGAAAACAAATTATTTGTTTATATAATTCCCTGCTACATTAATATATTTTTATCAGCGGATAGGCAATTTGGCGATTCTGTTTTCATAAAAAATAGTAGATTATTTGCAGCTAATTGTGTACGAATTCCTTTACACTGGCATCGTCCAATAAATCGTATTGTCTTCCCAATTCTTCTTTTAGTAGTTCAAACAAATGATAATTGTATGGAAAGATTTGTCTCAATGCGATTATCATTTGTTTGAGCTGCTAAAAGAAGAAAAATTCAAGGAGAAAAATAATTTGTTTTTTTTTATATTTTTATTCTCATCCAATAAATAATAATAATAAATTCTCGCTTATATTTGATCCTTGTATTAAAAATTTTTATTTTCAGAAACATATTTATGATTGATTTTATCATTTTTAAGTTATAAAGATTTACTGTTTATATATATGAACACGCAAATATTAAATCTTTTTGAAAAAATAATTGTTTAAAGATATTAAATCAATTATTCTAAGAATTTCTTGTTTTTTGATTGATAATTTGATAATCGACATTGATAATGATGAATTTCCATGAAATATCAATGAAATATAAACTTACTTCGAATACGAAAGTATCGACTTCTTCTCTGATATCTACATCATCCATCTCGTCATTTCGAACTGCCGCTATCAGAAGATCCAGCATAGCAAGTCGCCTTTTCTTAACTTAAGTAGATAGAATATTTTAAGTGTTAATTTTTAGTATGATAATAAATTGAAATAATGCATATAGTAATAAATTGAAATAATGCTCTATGCATACATACTTCCTATTATCTCTTCATCGTCTGTTTCTGTCATATCATCAAAATATTTCAAATATCGTCCATTAGTCCTTTCATGATATTGTTTTCTTTCTGTAATTATCTGCAAAAAAATCAAATACATATCTTTACTATTTATAATTATATATGATTTATTATATGATAATTATATATGATTTATTATATATGATTTATAGTATATTTATAT